TTGCGGTTTGATACTTCTGTTGCGAGGTGAGAAGGTTCTAAACTAACATTCTAAATTAGGTATCGGGATATAGAGGGAGCGGGCACAATACACGAATAGATGGGGAAACACACATAATATCAGAAAGGCAATTCACGGACAGGCAGCGGTCCCGCCACAGAGGCCCTACCTCGCAACTTGCAGAACTTAAAGGATCTGCTGCTAATGTTTTGGTGCAAGATACCACAGGACATGTTCAGAGTTCTTATGAAGTCCATGCCTTGACGCATCAGAGCTGTGAGGAAGTCCAAAAGGACAAAGTGCATTGAATGGAGGACCCCACAAGACTGCTAGTTGTTTCTGAGGTTCTGATTCCTGCATTTGGATAGTCTGACTTTGCTCAGCTAAGGCAGTGGGCCTGTGCCTATATTGGCAAATAAGCCTTTTTTGCACATGTAATTCAATTTATGTGTGATTTTACTTGTGAGTGTTTATTGCGTCTTTTATTCATCCAAGCTTTTTTAAAGTATACTGTGACCTTTTTTTCCTTTCTCTTTACATATGAGAATTACTCTACTCCAAAGCGGTAACTATATTGTCATATTGGTGGATGTGGCACCCTGTATTGCATGCATATTGCATATGTATCTTTATATGCGCATTGTGGTCTAGCACGAGGGGGGCCTACACAATATAAGGCAGGTGGGTTTAAGGTTGTAAGCTTCAGTTAAGTTTCTCCTGATACAGGAAAGTTATTTTCTATTTTATTGGTTTTCACTTTATCTTCTTTGGTTTGTGAACACACAATTTTCTTGTGTATATATTGTGTCAATTCTCAATTGATCTGTGAATAAAATTAACATTTAGTGGCTAGCCGTCAAACATCTTTTTTCTAATTCATCATCATTTTGTTTGACACCATGGATGGAATCACAAATACTGTAAAATTGGCGAGGAAATTGCAAACTTCAGACTAAATAGCCAAAAAGTGGAACATTTTTCCAATTCAAATTTCCAGCTTGAATCTTACCCCTTTTCAACCCTCCACACTTTGCATTTTGGTGAAATCATTGACTTGATTACTTCCTAAATTTCAAATTGCAGAAGGAATGGCAAAATCAAGGCAAACATAGCTGATGTGGAGACAAATATACCTATGCAATATGCACTGTGTATAGTAATAGTAATATTGTTTGCTATTTCAGATTGATAAAGAAGCTAAGCAGGTGACAGTGGAAGCTGGTATTCTTCTGGCTGATTTGAATAAGGAGCTAGATAGATGTGGCCTGGCCTTATCAAAGTAAGTATTACACTTTCAATGAATCAGAATTACTAATTATTTGTACTGCCAGGCAGATATTGTATGGTAATTATTTTGCACAGATTATTAACAATGTTAGAGTGGGGATGCAAGCTTTGATCATTTTAGATCTATTTTTATTATTAATAAAATAACATGAAAGCCTTATTTGAGTCGGGAATGCCACAATGCAGCTTTAGCTGTAGTTTTAAGGGGGAACTGATACGTCACAATACTTGTTATATTGTAAAACTATTCATTAAACTTAGAATTCAAAGTGAATTTAAAATTTAAAGGGACACTCTGGACCTCCCTTCCTTCCATTAGGCCCCACCCCTTGTGATCAAAGCTGGGCGGCAGAGTGGGCAGGGTGTAATGAGAGGCACTTATATTAATTATAAATAAAAAATAAAATACAATAGTGAAATTTCCTAAAAGAAAAAGTGCCGATGCTACAATCACCTTAGTGGACCCCTAATTAAACAGAGGTAAACAGGTGAAGGAAAGAAATGGTGAGAGCACTCAAATAAATTAGATTGATATTACCCAAATTGAAGTCAATCTAGCTCTGCAAATAAACACAAACAGAAAAGACATAGGGTAATAAAGTTAAAACTATACACCTAAAAGTTATGCGCTGGTCTCACTCACATAGATGGAGCCACTTAAAAAGCTGGCTCAAACTGCATGCCTTGAATAAATCACATATGGACCTCAGCTGGGCACTTCCCAAAATTCTGTGACCGGAACCAGAAGTAAGAAGAGACGTCGGGACGTCCCGACGCCGAACCCGGAAATGAAGAGCCGTGATCGCGGTGAAAAGGGCACCAAGAAGGCGTTTAACCCCTTAAGGACACATGACATGTGTGACATGTCATGATTCCCTTTTATTCCAGAAGTTTGGTCCTTAAGGGGTTAAAAGACTGCATGCCATGAATACAAGCATGATCTCCGCCGAAGGCATACAGCCGAGACGCGTCAGGTGCATATTGGACTTACTATTTGTGGGACTTTCCTGGACTATTGCTGTTTTTAATTTTGTTTCCTGTTATTGGAGAATAAAAGTTTTGTAACCGCCTGAACCTGCGTCTTGGAGGTACATCACACAGAATTTTGGGAAGTGCCCAGCTGAGGTCCAGTGAAGCAGTTTAGGTGTGTAGATCATCAATTCTCTGCTATTTAGGAGTAAAATCAATTTGTTTATGCAGCCCTACACACACCTCACTGCATGTGACTTACACAGCCTTCCTAAACACTTCCTGTAAAGTGTCAGCTACTGTTTACACTTCCTTTAATGCAAATAATGTTTAATTTAGAATTCCTGCTATGTTAATACCTTGCTAGACTCCTGCATGCAAGAAAATTTCAATCTACAGAGCTGGAGATATAAACGGTTAAAGTAAATAACATCTGCTTGAAAATGAAACCCTTTTGTTTTCATGCAGGCTATGTAAGTCACAGCCAGGGGAGGTGACAGAAACAAAAGTGATTTAACCCCTAAATGGCAGAGAATTGAACAGTAAACGTATTTGGGTGACTGTAGTAAATGTGGTCATCTGTTCTGTTGAGAAACAATATATCCTAGCATGCACTTGGCCTCTCCTTGTTTGGATGCTTAGCTTATATCTCTTTAATCTTTGTTACATGTGTTATAGTTGGTGCAGAAAATTAGGGAAGGATACAATTTTATGGAGTGATATAAAACTCTCTGTCTATAATGGCTTTTTCTGCGTCCGATACTTTGTGATCTATTAACATCTTAATAATATTTGAATTTAACATTGGTGCATTTTTTGTAGGCTCTCTATCCAGTAATGGAATTCTGTCGTAGTGACTGGTGTACTTTAAGGAGGTGGTGAACTGACCTCCTGGTCTCTTGTCATTCTCACAATAAGACAATGATCAAATTTAAATATTGATCATGGCAGCTTGTGATGGATTACAAATAACAGAAATGTAAATAAAACAATCAATTATACTAATTAGGACAAATGGACGGTTTGACACGCTAAGCCCTTGAAACGCCAAAGGGAATTCAGTTATCCCTTTTTGATTTTGGTCTGCACATTAGAGCCTCTTAAGGACAATATTGGGTAATGCAGCTGCCCTTTTAAACACCTTTTTTGGACAGACATTTCAAATGTTCATTTGTACAACACCGTAATGGAATGTCCAGGGTCATGTGGGTAACATTTCATAGTAAATTATCAAACTTAATCATATAAATGTCAAAATACTGCATGTCACTAGCATGATATACAAAGAGAGGCAAATGCATGACACGTAAAGGGGGAAGTTGTAATCTCTGATTTTAACAGATTTCTTTTTATTAGCTTTAATCAGTGGTAGGTGAATGGTTAATTAAGCCAGACACAGACTCTGTGGCAGTGATGGCTAATCTTGATGGGAAATGGCTGAGCGTTATATGAGTGTAGTCCACCACCATAAAGTTTGAGTTAGCCAATCTTTCTTTATGTGCTTAAATGCAAATATATAACCAGACCACCTAAAATCCCATACAAAGTCCATTACCTATAGCTTAATTTTAATGCTTAAGGCATGCCACACACCTGTGGAAGGCAACTAACATCATTCTAAGCCAGCAGAGTAGTTGTTGTTCAGCATTGTGTACGCAAAGAAATTCCATAAACACTAGACATCTTTTTATTTCCATTAATGTTCTCTTTTTTGACAGCATAAGTGGAACTTAGAAAACTGACCCCCACCCCCACTCCAAACATGTTTGGAATTGTACATAAATTCGTCAGAATTACTGTTTGATTCAAAATTAAAATGATCTCTAACTCCCATAACTCTTAGACTAAGAAGACCCTGTGACATCCCTAGCATAAGACTAGCTGACATAGCCTAAAGTCTAACCTCAGCCAGGTTTCGATGAGGGTGATGGTTGTTTCAGTCCGGAGCATGTAACCCTAATTGGGCCAATAAAATAGAAATTGCACAGTGCTGACAGCGAGATGCTAAATAGTCGACCTTGTGATAGCACTAGTCCTATCAAGTTAGTGAGCTTTATGGCATTTCCAATGTGCACCTGAGACTTTGCTTATGCAACCTTTCAGTGCCAGATAAAAATGCGACTCTTTATTTTCCTCAATCCCCTGCACCACATCTTGACAATAAAATGGTTATTTAATGGTCTAAAGCCTGACATTACATTTTGGATTTCTGCTCTGACAACTTCTGTCATGATATCTTTATTGCCAATCCTTGGGAGCTGTCACCGTGCGCTGTCAATTTATAGCTAACTCTCAGCATTCCAGGAATTGTTCTGTCACTGATCCCTCGGTGAAGCGTCTTCTTCATTGATCTAATGTCACTTTCTAGGTGCTGTTAAAATGAAATACATGTCATAGCAGCATTTCACATTTCCAGGAAAATGTATTGCTTTGGCACAGAATGATGGCTGTGTTGGAAGAAAATCATACAGCCGCACATTGGTGTCAGACTCGTGGCACTGTCCCTCTTCATAGGAGAGACTAGGGTGTGTCTTGGTAGAAACAAAATATCCAGGAGAAAGTGAGAGGACTTAAGGCTGGGTCATAAAGATTGCACTCCGTGGGGTGTTTTTGTTACTTTAAATTGTCTTTATTTATAGTCAATAATTATTTAACTAGAAGATTCCAGCGGACTGTTTATAACTAGTGATGTCCCGAACGGTTCGCGAAGGGTTTGCCATGAAGGGTTTGCCGAACGGTTCGCCACGGACTCATCATTCCAGCCAATCAGCAGCAGACCCTCCCAGACCCTCCCACCTCCTGAACAGCATCCATTTTGAAGCTGCATTCTTAGTGAGCTGTCCAGGAGGTGGGAGGGTCTGGGAGGGAGGGTCTGCTGCTGATTGGCTGGAATGATGAGTCCGTGGCGAACCGTTCGGCGAACCGTTCGTGGCTAACCGTTCGTGGTGAACCGTTCTCGAACCGTTCGGGACATCACTATTTATACACTGTATACCATTTTAAAAAACAAACACACATTGTTTCTCTGTTTTGTACATTAGTGATATCCACTATGGTAAAGAGGAGTGACTTTTACCTGTCTTGAAAATAGACTTGGAAGGCAGAAATTAAAGGTTTACTCCATGCACCATTACCACTATAGTGGTTACAATGCCACGAGAACCCTGGGGCCATTGCCTGGTAATGGGGAAAGTAATTTTGCAATGGATGCCTTTTACCTGAGTCCCTGCCGGGTGCCGAGTTTGGTTACGTGCATCTGGCTTCGGAATAACGCATGCCACCGGTCATTCATTGGCTGAAATTATCAGCTGACTGAGCACTTATGTCCAATGAATGTTCCATCTTCCCACACATTCTCTAGCTCTCTCACATCCCTCTCATTTTGCCCCATCTCTCACTGCAGTCTACTATTTTTTTTTTCACATTCACATACACTCTCCCCTACACTCTCCCCTTTTTAAAATCTCCCAACCTTCTCTTTCCTATTCCATCACTCTCGCACACCCACCTCTTTCCCTCTTCACTCCTCAAACCTCTTCTCTCCCTAGCTTTCTATCCTTCTAGTTACCAAAGTGGAAACCAGATTTCAGAAATATCATATCGTGCTCACTGTGTACGCAATTTCAACTAATTTGCTTTCATCTGATCAGCTTCCGAAGAACATTTATTCTGATTAAATGTCAGTGCATCATATCCATTGAATGTTCATGGTGCTGTGATTTCATCCTGTCATGCGATTCATTTGGTTTGTGAAGAAATATTTTTAGATTTTCCTAAAAGATTAACACCTTTGTGAAAAAAAAATCACCCGACCCCAAATATATAAACTTAGTAATCTCGTGGAGCAAAAAGACTAAATAAAACATTAAATAACTGTTTCCAGAATTTCATATCAGAATTGATTCTTGAAAACGATGTCTTTGTTGACATGATTATTCCCTGACAGTTTGGGCTTCAAGATGTAATTGTTCTGTGAAAATGTCAGTTCTGCGTTTTATTTATTTTATTTTATGTTTTGTGTGTAGCTGTTTGAAAGAGATCGTAATTCTGAAATTCCACTTGACTGGTTTTGCCATGCTGTAGAACACAATTTAATTTCCTCTTGAAATGTTCATTTCAGTAGTGTTCAAATCATTTATAATGCTTGGCTATACTTTAATCTTTATCAAAACACTAGTTTTGGATCCAGACTTTGCAATGAATTTATATTTCATCCCTGGTCACTTTAACAAACATTTCCAAGAGTGTATGTGAGTCTTTCAAACAATTTGTCATAAAGCCATCAGCCTATTGTTTAAGATTCCTTGAGGCACAATAGACTGCAAGCAGAGCTGGCGCTCCCATAAGGCGGCCGAGGCAGCCGCCTTAGGGAGCACCGGCCAAGGGGGCTCAGTCTCTGGGTGACTGGAAGGAGGAAATCGCCCTTCGCATGACTACCTTCCAGATGGTCACTGCATGTTTACCTTGGCCGAGCGGGCAGAATGCTACTTACCCGGTCTGACAGGAAATACAACAAACTGCTTCACCAGGATACCGAAACCTCTGTCGCAAACCTCGAGCTTAGCCACATGGAGGGAGGTGCAACTACTGGAGGGAATTGTATGATTTTTTGGTATGTTTGTAGTCTGAGTGTGCTAATAATATGTAACTTATGAAGATTGAATGTATATTTTTAAAGTTACAGTAAATGTATAAAAAGTGTATTTTTCCTGCCTGTGATAATTACTTTAACCTATTGTGTTCAGTAATTAGATCACAGGCAGAGGGGAGGATTTGTATGTAATTGCTGTGAGTGTTTTACTGTAATGTACGTGTTTTATTGGTAGTTCTTCAAAACCCTGTGGGCGGTACTATGTGTGTGAAATGTGCATAAAAGCAGAGTGTTTGATTAAAACTTCAGTTCTTCTTTACCCTTCAAAACGTAGCTTCGTCTCGTTATTGGAGGGAACTGCTATAATCACACTGGGGTTTACTATGCTCTGCATACTCCCTTCAGCTTTAATCACTTAGCTCTTTTAAGAGCTTGTTCCTGATACGCTCTCCTGGTGGAGAGGTCTGTCCCACACGGTCCTGGAGGACAGAAGCTAATCCAGGGTGGACAGAAGACGTCGAGACTCCAGTTAAGCTACGGTGGTTGTGGAGTCTGCGGTGCTTGTGGTCCTCGGCGCAAGCTAGGAAGCGTCCATCAACGGAAGGTACTCCGTCTGAGTACGGGGAGTTCCGTTACATGGGGGATTATGAAAGATACAGGAGGAGGGACAATGAAATGTACAGAAGGGGGACAATAAAAGGTACAGGAGGATAGGGGGACAATAAAAGGTACAAGAGGGGGACAATAAAAGGGACAGGTAGGGAGGGGGGATTCTGAAAGGTTCAGGAGGGGAGACAATAAAAGCTACAGGAAGGGGGATTATTAAAGATACAGAAGGGGAGGTGGGGCAATAAAAGTTAGAGAAGGGGAGTGGTGCAAAAAAAGGTACAGGAGAGGAGGGGGTACATTGAAAGGAACAGAGAGGACACTGAAAGGCACATGAGGGGAAGGGGGACTGTGAAAAGCTCAGGAGAGGAGGAGGAGAGACAATAAAAGGTACAGGGGGACAATAAAAGGTACAAGAAGGGAGGGGGGCAATAAAAGGTACGGGGAGATATTAATAGGCACAGGAGGGCTGGGGGAACAAAGATGTCCAGGGGGGGGAGGGGGAACAAACACATAGAGGCTGGAGGGAGGAAGAAACACACAGAGGGGCGAGGGGAAGAAAGAAGTACAAAGGGGCTAGAGGGTAGAAAGAGATGCACAAAGGTGCTGGGGTAAAAAGATGCACAAATGTGTTGGGAAGAAACAGCCACACAAAGGAGCTGGGGGTGAAAGAGACACAGAAAGGGGCAGGAGGACGAAATACACACAAAAAGGCTGGGAATGAAATAGACAGACAAAGAGACTGAGGGAAGTAAAAGATACACAAGGGGGGTTGTAATAGACACATGAGGGACAAAATACAGCAAAGGGGAAAAGGGGGGCAAGACATTACAAAAAATTGGATCTAAAACACTAAAAGGGGTAAGATAGTCAAAAGGGTGGTTACAAGACACACAGATAAAGATATATATATATTTATTTATTTTTGCGGGGTGGGGGTGGCAAAATTCATCTTCGCCTGTGTAGTCAAAAATCCTTGTACCAGCCGGAGTAAATCCGGAGTTTACAAAAAACTTATCTATTGAATCTTATTTAGCTCCCTTGCTTTTGATTACCTTTATCCTACTTGATGTCTTGCTACATATTCTCCTCATATTTCACTTAAAGTTTTCCTCAACCAGACATTGTTGTGCAAGAATAGTGGTCCTGGGGTAGTAGACATCCACCTAAGCTTGGTGGCCAGAATGCGTATGGATATTCTACTTAGAATGTTTCCTTTCTGACTAGTTGCATAACCACTATTGGTTTACTAAACAATACCAAACAATAATTTGCTTTAAAGACAAATTACAAATTAAAGGGTTACTCCAAACACAAGGGTTAGAGTAACCCTTCCTATCTTGGTCCTCTTAAACTTGAAAAAAAAAAAAACTAAACTAAAGCTAGAATTAACCTTCAATCCAACTCCAATGTCAGCCTGATCCTTCTCCATGTGTCGTAGGTGAAGGGATGCAGGTGGAGGACAGGATGAGGTGAGGATGTGGGGAACAGTGAGGGGAACCCGGCAGGTTTTGGCAATTGATTGGACATAGGGGTAAAGGGGTGAAGGTAAAGTGATTAAAC